ATTGGACTCTACAAAATTCAGAAGATACAAAGCAGTATCCTGAAAGGTAGGTTTCCTTTCCTGTACCCAAATAACCTCCTATTAGGAAATAATGTCAGTGATTTCCTATTTATCTTTGCAGTTATTTTATGCCTATAAAGCATGTACATACACTTTTTTTTAACAGAGTATTCTAGCATACCATGCACACTATTGTACACTTTTCTTTTTTCATTTAATATATCTGGAGACTAATCTTGGTATAATCTCAGAAAATAGAGTTGCCTATCCTTTTTTTGTCTTTTTTGAGACAGGATCTTATTAGGCAGTTCAGGCCTAGGCTGATCTCGAACTTGCAGTGATCCTCCTGCCTCAGCTTCCTGAGTGCTGGGATTACAGGCATGTGCCACCACTCTGGGAGTTTTTTTAATGTAATACAATAAATTCACCATTTTAAACATATAACTGGGCTGAGGGGTAGAGTGCTTACAGCCCCTGGGTTAAATCCTCTGCACCCCCCAAAAATAATGAAGCGTACAATTCACTAGTTCTTACTATAGTCACAAGGTTATACAACAATTAGCACTAATTCCAGAACATTTTTGTCATTCCCTGAAAATTCCACACCCAGTAGCACTCATCCTCATTCTTCCCTTCTCCCAGTCACTTACTCTAAGCTACATCCTGTCTTGATAGATTTGCATATTCTAGACCTCTCATACAAATTACATGAGTTAAATAATTCCTTTTTATGGCCAAATCAGACTTCATTATATGGACATGCCACATTTGGTTGATTCCATCATTGCACTAACCTCTGGGTATTACAAAGTAGCATACTTCATAGCAGCATGCCATGAACATTTGTGCATACATTTTTTTGATGTTTCCACTTCTCTTGGCTATAATCTAGGAGAGAAATTGCTGGGTCACAGGTCAACTATGTTTAGTATTTTACAAGGTTATGAAATCACCACCAATCACATCCCATTGCCCCTCTCCCCTTTTTGTTTTGAGATGGGGACTCACTATGTAGCTTGAGATGGGGACTCACTATGTAGCTCAGGCTGGCCTCCAATTTATAATCCTCTTTGTAACCCTCCTCAGCCTCCTTAGTGCTGGGATTCCAGGCATGTACTACCACACTACACCTCTCACCTTTTGGAGTTGACCTTGGATGTACTAGACAGGCACTCTACCACTGAGCTATATCCCCAGCCACTGTTTAACTTGAGATGCCAAACTTTCCAAAGTAGTTGCACCATTTTATGTTCTATCAATGTATTATGGACCCAATTTCCCCACATCTTTTCCAACATTTATTACTTTTTTTATTTTAACCATACTAGTGTGTTGTATATCACTTTAGCATTTTTATTTTTTGTTTTGCTTTTTAAGGAAGGCTCTCACTCTTATTCAAACTGGTCTTAAGCTCACTATGTAGCTCAGGCTAGTCTCAACTCATGGAGATCCTCCTGCCTTGGCCTCCCCAGTGCTGGGATTACAGGCGTGTTCCACCACACCTGGCATCACTTCAGTTTTGATTTACATTTTCCTTATGTCTTTTTCATCACTGGAACAAAATACCCAACACTAGCAATTTAGAGAAGGAGACATTTATTTTGGCTCACAGTTTGGTCAGCTGGCTCAGAGTGGCATAGCAGAGGAAAAGTTGCTCAACCTATGGTGGCCAGGAAACAGAATGGAGGAGCTGTGAGGATACACCCTTGCACATCACGCTCCCAGTGATTCCCCTCTTCTGATTACCTCCTTCCTCCTAACAGCACATGCTAAGCATAGCATCCCCACAATCCAGTCAACTTCCACACATGAGGCTTTTGGGAGACATTGTAGATCTAAACCACAAGACCTAATGACCAGTGATGAGTATGACAGGGTGTTGGTCTGTAGCCCAGGCTGGCCTCACACTTGCAGCAGTCATCCTGCCTCAGTCTCCCAAGTGCTGGGATTACAGATGTGTGCCACACACCTGCTCTTTCTCTTTTT